TCGTAAGTCTGGAAGATAAGACCCTCTGGCCTAGAAAAGGTTAAGGTTAAGTGAGAATGAAGACACGGTGATGGGGCTCTGTGAGAATAGGTGAATTTAAAAATCAGTATTGATGAAGGTGAAATAGTTATTCTATTGATTTTTTTTATTGTATGTATATCATAAAATTTACCATCTTAACTACTTATAAGTGTACAATTCGGTGGTATTAAGTACATTCACATTGTTGTATATCCATCATTAGTATTCATTTCCAGAACTTTTTTATTATTCCAAACAGAAACTGTACTCATTAAACAATAAGTCTACGTTTCTTCCACCCACGGCCCCTGGTAGCCTCTATTCTACTTTTTGTCTCTATGAACTTGCCTATTCTAGGCACTTGATATAAATGGAATCATATGCATTTGTCCTTTTGTGCCTGACATTTTACTCAGCATAACATTTTTGAGGTTCATCCATGCTGTAAGCGTGTATCAGTACTTCACTTCTTTTTATTGCCAAATAATATTCTATTGTATGGATATGACACATTTTCATTATTAATTAGTCTGTTGATGGGCCTTTGGGTGGTTTCTACATTTTGGCTATTGTGAATAATGCTACAGTGAGTATTCATGTGTAAGTTTTTGTATAAATATATGTTTTTAACTTTCTTGGGTATATAGAAACGAAACTGGTAGGTAACTCTATATATAACTTTTGGGGACCTGCCAGACTGTTACCGAAGCGGCTGCATCATTTGACATTCCCATCAGAAGCTATGAGGGTTCCAGTTTCTCTACATCCTCATTATCACTTGTTACTGTCTGCTGTGTCTTTTTTATTCTCGTCTTCCCTTCCTACTGGATATGAAGTGGAATCTCCTGTGGTTGAGATTTGCATTTCCCTGATGTGTAATGAAGTTGAGCATCTTTTGATGTGCTTATTGGCTATTTGTTTATCTTAATGGTAACTGTTCGATGCCCTTGTCTGCTAATTTTAAAACTCATCTCAGGTCTGGGTTGGTTTTAATTGATTCATTCATTAAGAGGTGTGTTTTCTTTCTTTTTTTGGGGGGTGAGGGAGTTAAATTTTTATAAGAGTTTATTTGAGTCAAACTGATGACATATGCTGGGAGCAAGATCAGGGATATGTTTTCTTCTTTGCATGCCTGATAATTTTTGTTTAGTTGCCAGACATTGTAAATTTTATTTCTTGGGTTCTGGATAATCTTATATTCATATAAATAAATATTCTTAAGCTTTGTTCTGGGACACAGTTAAGTTACTTGAAAACCATTTGATCCTTTTGGGTCTTGCTTTTTAAATTTACTTTAAAAAATGAGATATAATTTACATATGTATTGTATTAGTTTCAGGTGTACAAGATAATGATTTGCTATTTGTATATATTATACAAATGATCACCACAATAAGCCTAGTTAACATCCATCACCACATATAGTTAAAATTTTTTTTCTTGTGATGAGAGCTTTTAAGATTTACTCTCTTAGCAACTTTCAAATATACAATACAGTATCATTAACTATGGTCACCGAAATGTATATTACATCCTCAGGCCTTTTGACCATCTTCACGCAGTTTGCTCATCCTCCTACCTCTAACAGTGACCAACTTGTTCTCTGTATCTATAAATTCATTAAAAAAAAAAAGATTCCACATATAAGTGAGATCATACAGTATTTCTTTCTCTGTCTGACTTATTTCACTTAGCATAATGCCTTCAAGCTCCATCCATGTTGTTGCAAATAGCAAGACTGCATTCTTTTTTATGGCTGAATAATATTCCATTGTATATATGCACCACAATCCATTCATTGATCGATGGACACTTAGATTGCATCCATGTCTTGGCTATTGTAAGTAATGCTGACATGAACATGGGGGTGCACATATCTTTTCGATTTCGTATCCTTCAGATAAATGCCCAGAAGTGGAATTGCTGGGTTGTATGGTAGTTTTATGTTTAATTTTTTGAGCCACCTCCAAACTGTTTCCCATAGTGGCTGTACCAATTTACATTGCACAAGGGTTCCCTTTTTTCCACATCCTCACCAACACATTATTTCTGGTCTCTTTGATAATAGCCATTCTAACAGGCATGAGGTGATATCTCACTGCAGTTTTAAATTGCATTTCCCTAGTGATTAGTGATATTTACCATCTTTTCATGTACCTGAGTCTGGCTTTTAAGATTTGTTGTGTGGGATTAGGGCAGAGCTCACTCTAGGGTTATTCTCCACATCTGATGCAAGACCTTTCTGAGTACTCTACCCCTTGGATCCTGAGGTTTTTCCAGTCTGGCTGGTGGGAACAGGTACTACACTTCTAGGTACTGTTACCTCTAATCCTTTCAGGTGGTTCTTTGCAAGTCTTAGGCAATTTCCTCACATGCATATGTTGGTCAGTACGCAGCTAAATATCTCAGGGGAACTGGCTTCATTTCTCTCAGGTGTAGCTCTCTACTTTCGAATATGCTGTCGTGACAATTCTAACCACTTTGGTCTCTTGGACTCTCAGTTCCATTTCCTCAACTCAGCCAGTCTGCTGGGCTCTGCCTTCATTCTCCCTTTTTGCACCAGAGCCCTGGGAGCTCTCTCAAGGCAGCAAGCTGGGCGCTCGGAAGGCTCACATTGTTTCCTATCTCAGAGATCGATGTTCTTCCTTGTGCATCACAGAATATTTTGCAAAACGCTGTTTTTATCATTTGTCTGTATTTTGGTTGTTTCAGGCAGGAAGGTAAATCTGCCCTTCAAATTAGCTAGAAGTGAAAGACTTGACTGATTTTTCTCCTAGGTATAGGTTACATGTTCCCACTTCTCCCTACAAGGAATAATATTTGATTGGATGCTACAAATTGTGGATTTTACATTGTTGAATTCTGGATTTGTCGTGCTTTTCCAACAAATGTTGAAACTGCTTTCTAGTGTCCTCATGTCCTCAGCCTCCCTAAACTCTGATCTCTGTCTCGCCTCAACTCAGCAAGATTGCCAGGCTCTGTTTGGGTTTCCCTCCCTTCACTGTAGTTCAGAAATTGCCTCCAGGCAGAAGGCCTGAGAGATGGTGGCACCCATCTCATTTGTTACCTTTCTCTTAGGGATCAAGTCCTGTGCTGCCTGCCCTGTCCAAAAAGAGTTTTTCATATATTGTGCTCAGTTTTCTAGTCATTAGAGAAAGAGAGTAATTCTGGATCTTTTAATTCCCTTATGGCCACAAGTGGAAATTTCAATTTATTTTCAAATCTGCGGGATCATTTTGATTAGTATGTTATTACTTGTACATTTTCTTACAGTGTTTTCGATCCGTGGTTGGGAATCCACGTATGGGGAGGGCTGACTAGAGTTATAGGCTGATTTTCAACTGCACAGGGGTCGCGCCCCTAACCCTCACGTTGTTCATTCAAAGGTCAACTGTAATTCTTTTCATTTCTATAAACATTTCATACATACTTAGTCTATAATACTATCTAAAGTCCCGAGTGTTTAAACCTATTGTTTGTTGTTTCTATTCATCCTCACTCATGGTGATTTATTCCCTAGAGTGGCCTGTTTTGTTATTTTTTTAAATAAGCACATATTTAGTTGATCTTAATCTGCTAAAAACCTGAGCACCTACATTTTGGATGGTTTCCTTCAAAGATTATTAGCATGTGACTCTGCAGAGCCAGGGTATGCTACTGACCTACAATAGAATTCCTTCCGGCCCCTTTCAGGGTTCTCTCCTCCATCAAGGATGCTTCAGTTCATACACCTGTCTCGTCTCTTCCTTAGCGATGTTGTCAAAATCTGCCCTCAGAGAGCCCTGCCTTTCATGTGTGCTTACTGCTTCCTGCTCCAGTGTCAGCCGTCTTTTTTTTTTGGCCCTGTGCATGGTTCCATTTCTTTCCCCAAGTACATCAGAAAGGCCCCTCGCAGTATCTAGTGCACCATGCTGCCAGATGTAGAAACCTGGATTTCCTGTTTTATCTCTTATTGGTGCCCTCAACACATCACCCACACTTGGAGATGTCACCTTGGGCTTCAATTGTGACCTCTATTTGCAAGACCTTTAAATCTAATTTCCCGCTTTAACATATGCCCCATGTTTAAAATCCCACATTCCCAATTGCTCATTGGACATATTTACCTGGATATCCATCTGATTTAGACTCAATATATTCAAATCCAAATACAACACCTTTTTCTTCTGTCTCCACATGTCCAAGAATTTTTTTCTTCCCTTCACAAACCTCAAACATTTCAAGTTGGGAGAGATTTTCAGAACTGATTTTATAACTGGGTACAATGACAACCAAGGATATTAAATAAATTTTGCTTATCACTTCCAATTAATTTCCCCAAAATGTCACTTTTATTATGTTTCTTCCCATTCAAAGAACTTCAGTGGTTTCCCTCGTGCCTAAAACCTTAAGACACTTGCAGATCTTATGGTTGGAGCATTTTCCTTATTGTAATAGCCCCTTCCCCACTGCCCCTGGAATAATCCTTCAAATAAAATCTCTCCTTACAAACAAAAACGAAAACAAAATTTCATTGGTTTTCCAATATCCACAAGATTTTAGCTTAGCATTTAAGGGGTATCAAAATCTAGTTTTATGTCCATTAATCTCATATATGAAGCCTCTGCTACAGGCAAGTGAGTCTATCCCTCCAAATCTTACTCGTCTTCACATCACTCAGCCTATAGAAGATGCTGAGTCTTCATCCAATTCTGTTGAAATTCTATCTATCTCTCAAAATACAGCTGAAATATCAATGCCTTTGTTAGTGTCACCAAACTGAAATTTATTTATCCAACTGAATTTTTTTTGGCATTTCTGATCTGTAAATTCATAGAACACTTACTGAATTCTGCTTTGTGCTATGGATGTATTTCTATTTTATGTTCTTTCAAGTTGCTCCAGGCAGAAAGCAACTGTTCTGTGTTCCCCACAGTGCCTGGCACTTGGAAGCTCAGTGAAGTTGGCTGAAAGGAGAAGTAAACTCAAGAGCTGCTTACCTTGGTGATGTCTGTGTGATCTTTGAGCCCGTTGGTCATGCACCAATATCGCCACACATTCAGGGCATACCGCGTGGCTTTGGTGGTATTTGGGCTTACTGCACTGGTACACAGATCATTCAAGTCATCATTAATATTAAATACAGGAAATTTGTTGAGCTTAGTAGAATAGGCTAGAAACAGAAAAAATAAAAGGCATTAAAATAATTTGCCATTCCCTTTTTTAGAGAATTACATCTTGGGATCATGTTAAATAACAGAAAACTAAGAGGTAACACTTTGGAAAAATGAAGTTTCTATCAAGTATACATATAATAGGATAAATAAAGTAGGGAACGATATTTTTAGCGTGAAATCAATGCAGTAAACTTGCATTTAATCCCAACAATTCTGCCACATAAACTAACTGATGTACGAATACAAGTATTCTGTTAACAAAGGGGGAAAATGAATGAAAAAAACAAGGAATGTTCTATCTGAAGTTTTCACTGGAAAAAAGTAGCATTTCTATTAACAATAACAAAAAGATGGAAAGAAGGGAAGACAAGGTAACACATCCTTTCTCTTAACCCTTAGCACATGAACAGCTGTTATTTCTTAGTAATATATAGCCTCAGTCATCTATTGTGCCACCTGGGCAGCCTTTAATTAAATGGTGTTAGCATATTTCTTTAATTTTCTTCATAAATTAATGAAGAGAAAGATATTTAAACCCTGATTCCAAAACCCATCAGCTAGCCAAATGTCAGAGAACAGATTTTAAGTTGCAATTGCCCAATTACTTCAGATGAAAACTGCTTTTCCTCAATGTATTCACTTTAAACGTTAGTTTCCAAAGAGATAATCAGGTCCATAACTGTTAGCTGGCCTTCTTCATACACTGGGATTTACTAAAACCAGGCTTAAGATGTTCATACTGTGGTATTGGGGGAGGGGGGAGAGAGGAATTAAGGTAGATTACCTCAAAATGAAAACAATGCCAACATGTACTTTAATGGTTCTGACTCTCCCTGGAATGTTTCTGTATTCAAACAAACCACAAGGCCGAGAAATAGCAAAATAAAGTTAATACAATTACCAAGGTGATCTACAAATTGGCTTCACTTTACCTCACTCACCTCACCTTTCACAGTTCCTGGTGAGTGATTCACCACCAGCCTCCTGCCGTCCTCAGCACCCGCCCGCACCCAGGGCACCCATACTCCCTGAGAAATCTCCCATGGCCTTTGTGCCCATCCAAAGTGGCTTTTTTTTTTCCAATTCCAATTCCAAGCTCACTTCTACATAATCCTTCCCCACACTACCCAACTCCATTATTCTCTCCTTCACTGTGGTCTCACATTTGCTTTATTATTCCATGGAACTGTGATCTAATTGTGTCCAGAATCTCTCTTCAATGGGTTTGTATGCTCAGGACTGTGTCTTCACCCTTTAAGTCAGCTGTTGAACTGCTGAACACATACCATCTGCTTTATAAATGCTCATAGCAAGAGAGGAATAAACAATGCTAGAAATGCTATCTAAAGCAACTGATTCATGTGGGTATATTCCTCTCACCACCCTCATAAACCGAGATAACATTATTTCTTGGACTCGCTTGATATTAAGGATGCTAGTATAAAATTTATTATTATTACATCTAGCACTAACTAAATGCTTACTGTATGTCAAGGGTTATATAAATTATCTGTAAACTCTAAGAAACCCTATTGTTGTACCTATTTTACAAATAAGGAAACAGGACCTCATATATTTAGTAACTCCATTCATCACTCATCCAGTATTTCCTGAGGTACCCTCTCTGTGCCAGGTCCTGTGCTGTCCCAAGTGATGGAGTTAGCAAGTGCTCAAGCCAGGGTTTGAACCTGGGTCAAAGGAAATCAGGTGCCACAGGGACAGCATTCTCAATAAAGAATGCAATTTAGGGCCGCCCGAGTGGCGCGATGGTTAAGAACTGGCTTGGGACGCCAGAGGGCCCCGGTTCGGATCCCACATATGAGGGCCAGTGACACTGCCCTCTACAGCTAAGATGCTGAACAACAGCTCAACCTGGAGCTGGGCTGCCGTGAGTCGCCGGCGACGGCGTAGGCTGCAGTCCCTGTGGCAGTGGGTTGCCATGGGCTACCGTGTATGGCCAGCAGCCAGCCTGAGCGGCTAGCAGCCGCAGTGAGCGGCCATCCAGAAGCCGGCGACTGATCTGCCTCACCCGGGAAGAGTGCAATGATGGTGCCAACTTGGGCCAGTGAAGCAACGTCCTCCATAACTAGACTGAAGAACAAAAACCGACAGCAACTTGTCTGTTCCCCTTCCCCCAATTCCCCAGCACTGTTCCCATCCCCCCAATTCCCCAATTAAAAAAAATCTTAAAAAAAATAAAAATAGCAAGATTCAAAATAATGAAAAACTCAATTTCAAAAAAAAAATGCAATTTAAATATTAGCCCCTTATGAAAAGTATATCCTGGCCCCCTAAATTTACTTGATTAACCTCCAGTGAGCAGAACTAAGTCTGATTTCTTTAGACCAACACTATAGTTTCATTATGGGTTGTTTTTTTTAAACAACAACAAAATTTATTTGCAACACAGCCCAGTCCCCATCACTTCAATACAGCATGAGCATAGAAGTCACAATGCAAGATAGGATGACTGACTATTATGTTAAACAATATAACCTTAAATAATTTCATTTTTATCACAGAACAGAGACTATACACTGCAAATGGAAACCTCTGTCTCCACTGAAGTTTTGTCAATTGCCCCAACAATATCCTCTACGTGGGAAGGGATCCCGCTCAGCGTCGTGTGTTGTATTTAGCTATGTCCTGTTCCTCGGGCTTTGATTTTCCTCACCTGCTTGGACTTGGACACCTCGCTGTGACCTGCCTCCCACACAGCTGTCCTGATTCACTCAACATAGGACACCCTGTGCTGGGCCATCTTCTCAACCACGGACACCGTTCTCACTCCATCCAAATTCTGACATCCCACGCTGGGAAGCCCTTCTACATGGAAGCCCTCATCACACTTGGGCTCTGACACCTCACACCAGGCCACCCCCATGCACGGAAGCCCTACTCACGCCCGGAAAGCTCAGACTGTTCACACAGTGCTTCTTCCCGTATCTCCCACTGTTCTACGGATGCCCTCCTTACTCTGCTCAGGCCACCCCGCCACATACCTGGCTACCACCCCGAAAGGATGCTTTCTCGCCCAGCTCAAGCTCTGCTACCACTTGCCAGATTGCCCCTACTAAAACATATCTCTTGCCCCAGTCAGTTTCCTACCCTCCTCACTGGGCAGTTCTCCTATGCAGATGCCCGCTTTACCCTTTTCGGGCTTCAAGCCTCACTCTAAGCCATCACAGCTCCTTCAACACACACACTTTGCTCTCACCCACCAACAGCTTTGAAACTGAATAGCTCAGAAAGGGAAGACGAGGAAGGAAAGGGGAAGAAGAAAAAGAAGGGACAAAATTCTAGAAAATTTTGTTGACAATGAAGCAATTATATACTTCTAAATAAACCCTTGGTGAAAGGAAAATAATGGGAATTATTTTTGAAAAAAATCAGTGGTCAATATTTCAAACCGAATGATAATTGACAATACAACGTGTCAAAGTTGTGGGATGAAGTTACTGCAGTGTCTATAGAGCAAGTGAGAGCATTAAATTCATATATTAGAAAAGAAGAACAGTTGAATACCAACTGTACCAGGAAATTATAAAGATAACAACAAATGTAGCCAAAAAGTAAAAAGGAAACAATACATACAAAAACAGAAATCAGTGAAATAAAAAGAAATTTACAAATAAAACCCCCAAACAATACAATGCTAAGATATGCATTTGAAAAGACTAATAAAATTAATAAACTTGTAAGAATAAAAGAGAGAAGGCACAAATTACTACACCAGGAATGAAAAGGGGTTGCCACTACAGATCCTGCAGATATTTAAAAGATAGTAAAAAGATATGAAAAACTTGATGCCAATAAATTTGAAATTTTAGATAAAATGGACAAATATCTAGAAAAGTCACAACTTATCAAAACTGAACAAGAAATATAAAATTTAAATAGTCCTATATTCATTAAAGAATTGAATCTATAATTTAATATATCACAAAAACCCTTCAGGTTCAGGTGGATTTTACCGGTAAATTCTTTTAACATTTAAGGAATTAATAATGCCAAATCTAAAGACTCTGCTAGTAAACAGAAAAAGAGGGAATAGCACCCAGTGTCTCCTATAGAGCAGCATAACTTTTCTATAAAAATGCAACAAGAATAAAAGAAAATTGTAAGCCAACACAAATCATAAACACAGACACAAAAATCCTTAGCATGATATATGCAAATTGAATGCCTACCTCGCACCATAAACAAACAAACAAAAACAATTCTAAATGCATCACAGCCTAAATATGAATGGCAAAACAAAGTTGCTAGAAGAAAACATAGGAGACCATTTTTGTGACCTTGGGGTAGCTACATATTTTTCAACAGGCGATCAACATTACTACCCCAAAAGTAAAAGATTTATAAATTGGGTTTCATTAAAATTAAAGACATTTATCAGGCCGGCCGAGTGGCTCAGTTGGTTAAGAGTTGTTTTGAGAGCACGAGCTCTGAGCATCATGGCAGCCGATTCGATTCCCACATGGGCCAGTGATGCTGCGCCCGAGCTGAGCTGCCGCTGAGCTGCCAACAGGTGGCAGGATGGCTCAGCTGGTGTAACAACAAGACTGTCTGTTTGATGTGGGCTATGCCCACCCGCAACTAAGACTGAACTCAGCACCTTGAGCTGAGTTGCTGCCCGGATGGCTCAGTGGATAGAGCGTGCGCTCTTAACAAGGCTGCTGGTTCGACTCCTGCATGGGATAGTGTCTACGTCCACCTGCAACTAAGATTGAACACAGCACCTTGAGCTTAGAGGCCACGAGCTGCCGACGGGAAGCCAGATGGCAACTGGGGCCCTCCACAACATACTGAAGAACAACAACTTGGCTGTTTCCCTTCCCCAATTCCCCAACACTGTTCCCCTCCCCCAATTCCCCAATAAAATCTTTAAAAAAAAAAGACATTAATCAAAATGCGCCATTAAGAGAGTGAAAAGGCAAGTGACAGTGGGATATTAAAGTGCGTATATCTCACAAATCAATTAGGAGATAGTCCA